AGGGCATGAACATGACTCCACAAGTTAAGCAGATTCAATTTCCCTACTCTTGTTAGAGGGGCCAATTCAAATTTGCCATTTGTTTTGCACCCACAGAACCACTTCAAGGACATTAATGATCTCTCGAAACTAATCAGCTTTATGCAGGTGAACATGTATCTTTTAAAGAGCCTGAGGACCTCCCAGGCTCAAGATAGCACACGAGACAGAAGTATGGACAATATACTCTTACAGCAACAGCGACCAATTACTGTTGAGAATTTTTGTGAATGACCAAGTGGCTAATTAAATATAGTATCAAGTCAAATATTACCAAGCAAAGTGCATTCCTATAGTAGTCATTAATCTTACTGAATTTTCTAACTTAAAATGGCCTATGATGTCTGGTGCAAAGAAAATCCATGTAATAAATTCTCTTTGCTTGAGACTTTAGGGTGGAACCTATTTCTTCGGGATTCACAGGGTTTCTTTTTACGTTCTGGATATGATTTTTTTTTGAAAATATGTGTTGCAAATATCTTCTCCCAGTCTCAGCTTGCTTTTGCACTCTTACTGCTATCTTTTAATGAACCTAAGCTCTTAATTTTAATGAAGTCCAATTTATCTATCTTGTCTTTTATGGTCAGTGCTCCCCTTTTATTGACTCCCTTTGACCCTCCTTATTGTTTTCTTGATGGTTAGGTTAATTCTTAGCAAATGCCCTGTTTTGTCTGCTCCGTATTTCTGATCTCCCGCCTGTCCTGACTCTATCATGCTCCGTATTCTTCAAAGCCTTTCTCATTCCTCTAAGTCAATGATCTGTGGACTGATAGATTTCATATTATTTTCTGTTTCTTGGGTCTGTCTATCCATTTTTTTCTGGTTTGCCCATTCAGTTTCCATATCAGTACCATTTCTTACAATTAACTGTCCTTTCTCTGGTTTGGCATTGCCATTCTTGGAAGAAGACAATAGTGTCAATGTGCTGATGTGGTCTTGAGCCAAAGGTCTCTTGTGGCAATACACAATCAGGAAAAATTTCAAAAATTTACAAACGTCCTTTGTCCAGAGTTGCACTGGAATCAAACTTGAGAAGAAGGAAAAATGTGAGAATTACTTTTGGATCCATGTGACTGATCGAGCTGGACGCCAGCAGGTATGACGGAGTGTGGGCAATCCAGAGAGCAGATTAAACTGAGAACTTTAAAGCTGAAAGAGGAAAAAGAGCTTTCACTCTACTTTTTGCGTTATCTGGTTAAGTCAGCATGAGGTCTGTGGCTGGGAAGGGCCATGGTTTCCAGGTAGAGAGATCACTATGGAGGTGGCAAGTGGGTAGGAGGGGCTCTCCCTGGAAGACTTTGCCTCTCTCTGCCACCATCTTCACGCCCTACACCCCTGAAGGCTGACACGTGGTAGCGTTGTCCTTAAGCACGTGCCCTCAGCCCCAGTGAAGCTGACAGGTACGCACAGGTAGGAAATAGCAAGTAAACACATCCTCTGGCAACTTTGGAACGAGTGTGGCAGGCTTTGCATGTAAGCCGCCCTCTCACCACCCTCCCCCCGCCCCCATAAATAGAAGCATGTGCGGAAAAGAGTTAACAGCAGACCTGAGACCGTGAGCCCCAGGAAGACCTGCTTCCAAGGCTGGCCCTCAGCTGACATCTGGGAACTTGGAGTTCAGGACGGTCCCCACCACTCCCAGAACTGATCAGAGTGGCTCCCTGTGCCTAAACTGTTCGTACAAACAGCGTAGATGATGCTGAATGCCCGCTTCCCCGCTGGGAGTCTGGGATTTTGGACTGTGGGAGGCAGGGAGTGCTTGTGTGGCGGGCCCCCAATACAAACCCTGGGTGAGTCTCCCTGGTGGACATTTCACACGTATTATTACACCTCACGGCTGGAGGAGTTTAGCACGTCCTCTGTGACTCCCCTTGGGGGGAACTCTGGGTGCCTGGATTCCCAGGACTTCACCCACACTGTTACCTGTGCTGGTCTTGCTCTGCGTTCTCTAACAGGGATAAATTGTGGCCGTGAGCACAGCTATATGCTGAGTCCATGAGTGCTGCTAGTGAATTACCAACCTGGGGTGTTCTCAGAGAATCCCCAGCTCAGAGGAGTATATAAATCAGCCCATCTGCAGGAGCACAAATTTCTTGGCAGTGAGTTGACATGTGTCCCCTCAGCAAACACATTTCAGAGCTCCCTGGAACCCCACTTATGAAGCTTGGGTTATGAAAGTGTGAAGGGAGAGGTAGGGATTGGAAAATGAGAAAGCTTTTCCCCAGAAATCTCTTCAGCAATTTCCTCTCCTAGCCCCCAACCTGCCTACACATCTCACTGATCCTAAGACGCAGGAAAGATTAGGTTGAACTATAAGAAACTGCCCTTTCTGTAGATCAAAAACAGTTGAATATTGGCAATTTCACATAATATTATCATCCATGTCGTATGGAGCTGAGGAAACTGAGGCTTAGGGAGGTTAAGTCATTTGGGGAAAGTCACACATTCCATGAATCAGGGAGCTTGGATCTGAAGTGGGGCCGGACTCTACAACCTGCCGCTCTCCCTGCGGGGACAGGACGCTATCCACAGAAACAGGGGTTCTTACTGGACGATGGTAAAAGACCAGGTTGGTGGAGTAGGGCTTTTAGATGCCAGGATGAGCATCTGGACCTGCTGTAGCAGCCGCAGGGAGACCACTGGAGATGGAAAGGATGAAATTGGAGGAGTAAAGAGTAGGAAGAACAGGGACATGATACGGAGACAGAAAGGTGAGTGGGCTGCTGTAGAAATCAGGTGACACCAGAATGAGGACATCCTGGCAGGAAACTGGAGAGGAAGAAACGATCAGAGAGACACTTTTTGAGTTGCCTGTCCTTGGCACCACATCTAGCACATAGCAGTTGCTCAATAAATGCCCATTACATAAGAACAGAACTAAACAGATAAGGCTAGAAATTGTTGCTCGGTGGCGAGGAATCACCACACTGAAAATATGGGGTTTTGCCCTGGCCGGTGTGGCTCAGTGGATTGAGGGCCAGCCTGTGAACCAAAGAGTCATCGGTTCGATTCCCTCTCAGGGCACATGCCTGGGTTGCGGGTCAGGTCCCCAGTAGGGGGCATGTGAGAGGTAACCACACATTGATGTTTCTGTCCCTCTCTGTCTCCCTCCCTTCCCCTCTGTCAAAAAATAAATACATTAAAAAAATTAAAAAATGAAAAAGAAAATACGGGGTTTCAGGATCAGTTTTAATGCAAGCCAGTGTATTGTTAATGATTTCTGTAATGTATATAGTGACACCTACTGCCAATAACGTATGCTGTGACCCATCCAGAGATGACAGCTCTATGTGCTTTGCTCCTATCTTTACCTAAGTGGGGTGTTAGGTTGGAACTTGAGCACTCATCTTTGAGCAGCGAAAGCTGTAGGTACGTGAGTCTGGGCAGGCTTAAGGGGCACATTCGTGAAAAGATACGAGTATAAACACACACGGCAGGCTGTTTTAAGAACTTCTTACGTCCTAGGCACGCCGAGTTCTGGAAGCTCATCCCACATCATAACAAATATATTAAACTACGCCCACATTATCTAAATACTCTTAAAGAATTTGACCTTTAAGAAAAACAGTTTTCATTTGAACTTATTTGGTGACAGGGAACTTAATTTGTAATTGCTGTGACTTCCTGGCAATCATGGTATTAGGAAATTCTTACTAAGTGATTTCTAACTTACACGTGGTTATACTGAAATGTTTATCAATAAATAAATTACAGTTATGAAGTTGACATGTTATGTTATGGGGACCTTTCTTTGCACGATATGAACTTCAAATTCGCAGTGTACTTTTTGCAGTTTTGGGCCAATAAAAAATTTTTTTCAGTCTCAAACATTTTCATAGGTCCCTGAAAAGTCTATTGAATAGAATGACCCTGTAAACATTGCTGCTTGTGTATGATTGGCCAACTAGGCAATAAAAGTCAATCGAGACTCTCATTTTCTTCTATTCTAAGAGACCCAGAGCAGAACAAGGGAGAGCACCCCTCTCCCTTCTATTTCCAGGACTCCTGTTCTCCTTTCTGTCAGCGGCGTCGTTTCCTCAATCCACTCTCACAAGACTTGGACGCACAGGGGGTCCTATCTCAACAAAACGACTTTTTTTTTTTGCGGGGGGGGGGGGGGGGAATAATTTATGATGAAAATTTCCCTAATTGGACATTCTAGCACTAACATGCTAGACATTCTCGTTTTTATTTCTGATCTTCAGAGGGCAGTGGTGTCAGACACTTAAAAAAATTTTTTTTTTAAACGAGGCATTTTTCTCCTGCCACTCCTGGCGGTCAAGGGCAAGCGCCTGGTTATCTAGAACCCGGTCTGTAAGTGGCTGGTCCTTTCCACATCTCAAGTGGACTGTTTGTCACTGGGTGTTTTACCAGAGGCTTCATCCAAATGGGGGATGCCTCCCATGCAGCTCGGGGACCTTTGGTCGTATTCCAAGAGATGGCCTGGGTGGGTACTGGGGATCCCTCCGCGGGGACCAGCAACTGTCTGCAGTATTGACCTCTGCGCCCAAGTCATCCCAGCCTAGACCTCCCCCTCCGACCCGACCTCTGCCATCTGACATCCACAACCCACCTCACAGCCCTGATCTCCAGCATCTGACCCTCAGCCTCCGCCCTGACGGCCAGGCAGCGACTTGACCTCCATCTCAGACTCCCACTGTCCCCTCTGACCCTGATCTGGGCCGCGGACGCCCCCGCGGCCCCTCGGGAATTCCAGCGGGGACGGAGGTCCCGCGCCGCCCCCGGACCCTCAGCGCAGACCCCGGAAGACGCCGGGACTCAAAAATCGCTCTGTACTTTCACCAAAGTGATTTCTCGGAAGGAGGCCAGCAAGGCGAGCCACGCCCATTGGGTGGCTCTGGCGACCTTCCCGCGACCATTGGCTGAAAGACCCGTGCCTGGCTCCCCGGACACGCCCCAACCTTAAATAGACTCGGGCGCCGGAGCTAGAGGCCGCAACTCCCGAGGGCGGCGGCGAGCGTGGGAACGCGGAGGTCTGCACCGAAGGCTGGCGGCAGGCCGGGCGCGCACGGCGGCGGGTAGGAGGCAAGGGCCGGCGGGTGGGCGAGGGCTGGGCGGCGCGGCCAGGTCCGGGCGGGCCGAGACAGTGGGCCGGGCGGGGACAGCTGCCGCCCCGTCTCCGGGCAAGTGCGACGGCAGCCCCACCTCTGTTTTTCTCCCACTCCTCTATTCCTCTTGAATCTAAACGGAAGGTCCAAGTTGTTGATCATTGTATGGCTGCCCCTAAAGAATTTTTAAAAAAATCTTATTTTTCTTAAAATCTGGCTTGCATGGTCTACTTTAGAATGTTCCATATAATGAAGGGAAATACCCTTTATTATGAGATCTACTCCCTATCTCACATGGAATAATACTTGGAGGTCATTGCTCTGAAACTGCCCAATAACCAGCAGCGCCTGTGTGGGTTAGCTTGTGAAACGGGCCGACTGGATTTTTAAATTCTGATTGATGACAATTACTGAGTGGGGTTTGACGTCCTTTGCCTTCATCACAGCCTTGGCAAAGAAGTCTGTATGGTGTCACAACTAACATGACGTTTTGGTGTAAAGGCAAAGTAACATATCTAAGGTGAGATAGGTTACTTATCCAGAGCTATGGAGTGCTTCTGAATGCAGAGACCGAATTTTAAACTATTCCCGTAACATATGGGAGGCGCCAGGGGGTATAACACCATTTTTTAAACCTAAATTAGGAGCCGGTCTTTAAAGCATGGTTCTGAGAGTGTCCTTTTGGGTTGTGGCAGGGTCCCCCATGAAAAGAATTAGGGGTAGTTTAGTCGTTTTGGCAGGACTGGGGCCAGAGGGAGAAATGGCTTTGATGCTTTTGGGTCTCTAGGTGACGGGGGTTTGTGGTGGCCCCAGCAAATGCCCAGGGGCCCTGAGAGGAGTGGGAGAAGGTGAGTCCCGTGCCACCTCTCTGGCTCATCCTGGGCTGGGCTCTTATCACCTCCCGCCTGGGAAGCCTGACCCCCGGACCCATTTATCGGGCGCAGATTCGCTCCAGATAGGACTTGGCCTATAAAGAGAATTATTACCTAAAAATCAAGGAAGAGGAAGTTATAAACATGTGACTGGGCTTATAAATTTTTCCTGGCTCAGCATTTGGTGGAATTAATTTGTTAGTGTTTAATAGATAATTATGGATCTTCTTTGTATTAGAATCTCAGGCTTTTAATCCTGCTTAGGATCTTAAGGGTGAGCTCATTGAAAATTCAGGTGAGGTTGACCATGTTATGAGATCGTATAACTTCACTATGGATTTTTTTTCTGCAGAGTGAGTAAACTAAGACTCCCCTGTGGGTGTCTAGGGGTTGGGGTGCCTTTCTGGTTCGCAGGCCGGCACTCAATCCACTGAGCCACACCAGCCAGGGCTTGGGGTGCCTTTCTGGGCTTCAGTTTTTTCATTTTTTAACAAAGAGGGGCTGGATTAGATGATTTCTAAAGTTTTTCCGGCTTTTATAGTCTATGACTTACTCTTCATCTTAATGTCATCTCTTTTACTTTTTTCCTCTCTTTTTTCCCTTATAAGTCACCAAGAGAGTTGTCCTTAACAATTTTAGGGTTATGACTCCATTAAAAATCCCAATGAGAAGGTGTTGATCACTTTCTAAAAAAAAAAAAAAAAAGCCCATACAAACAAAATATTGCTTTTCATTTCAGGATACTCCTGGAACATGGGCCCTAGTCTGTGAACCTTGTACCAAGGGGGTGAGCAAAATGCTAATTGAACAGAAACATGTCCTTTAATTGACAGATCCACAGACACCAACTTTCTTTTGGGTTCTGGTCCCCTGTCCTTGTCCCCCACACAGTCCTCCCTCAAGGGAGGGGAGTCTCCTGCCTTTTCAACAGGGAAGACCCATAGGAACCTCTACTCTGCCACGTTGTTTCCTGGGGGGAGTTGGTGGTGTCATTTCATTCCTCTCATTAGGTGCTTCTCCCGAATCTGTCCCATAATTTATAAACGCGAGGGACTGTTTTAGAATTCTGGGACACTTGAGATCCATTCGCTTTCAAGGTGAGGAGAGCCTCACAGAGAGGCTCAAGTGACCTACCCAAGGTCTAGTTAGAGTTCAGCCTTTGCTAGAGTCTACAGCTTTCAAATCGAAGTCCAATCCCTATTTCACACACTTCACTCCTTTTAAATCCACAACTGGGCAGCTGGGGTTATTGGATGAAAAAGTTACCTTAGGTGCTCGCCGGGCCTTTCCTCTTTCTCTCCAGGACCTGGCTGCCCTCTCTCACCCCAGCGCCACCTGCAGGGTAGCTGGAGTTTTCATAACACCCACTTCTTGCTTTATGGACCAGCATGGCTCTGAATGTGACCATATTCTTGGGAACGTGATGTTTTGTTGCTGCCGATTGTTTCAAACTTGTTTGCCCAGAGAGGTCACATTTTAATCAGAAGAGTAGAAGCGCTATCTTTTCTTTTTTTTTTTTTTTTTTTGGGTGGGCGTCTGTCCAACTGCCTAGGGGATTTCCACCCCTGTTCTTGTAAATGTGGGCTATGAGTTGATACGGCATGGTTGCTTTCTCTTATTCTCTGTGCTGTTGGGACAGCTGCCTCATGTGGCAGGAGTGCTCTTCCAAAGGATGTCTTTGGGTGCCTGGGATGCTGAGGTCCCCCAATTTTGGTGCATTCTGGAGGAGTCTACCTGGGTTAACTTTGTCTGTAGCTGCAGTTGATTTCCTCATGCTTGTCTGCTATCTCTCAATTGGGTGTAAGACTTCCTGAGGTGGAAAGTTGGGATAATAATAACATCTGTTATTTGGAGAAAATCTTCAAAGGTGCAGCCACTGTCTTAGATGCTTTATGTGCATTGCCTGAGCCCTCACTAAATGATGTCAAGCACTGATAATTGCCCCAGTGTTTCAGCTAGTGTAGCTGACCTTTCAGAGTTGAATGATGCTCCCAGGTCACCCAGCTGAGAGATGGCAGGATTCTAATGGTACCCCAGCTCTGTCCTCCCCAAACTCATGCTGTCATCCCTAAACCAGCTGTGAAGGAATGATCTAGAACAGCAGTTTTCCACCTTTTTTATCTCATGGCACACATAAACTAATGACTAAAATTCCCTGGCATGCCAAAAAAAATGCATTTTTTGCTGATCTGACAAACAAAATAGGTACAATTTTGATTCATTCACACCAGATGGCTATTGTTCTGTTGGCTGTTGTCATTTTTTATTTGACAGTCTAAGGGAAAAGAGGTCAGTGCCCCTGACTGCATAGTCAGGTACTGCACGTTTAAACAACCGTGGCACACTGGCTGAAAATCACTGACGTAGAAGGATGGCCTGAGACTTTCCTCCTACTTGGAGATCACAACTGTGCACTTTTCTCACAAACACCGATCAGACTGGGCATTGAGTAGTGGAACTGGCTCCTAGAGTGCTGGGCGCTCATGGAAAGGACCTGAAGACGTAAAAATGATTTTTCTCTGTCTCGTGCTGAAAACGCAATGATGCCGTTAGAGATGCCTGGAAGGGAACGTGGCGTGGAAGCTGGAAAGGGCACAGCCAGAACCACAGACGGGGCCAGTCTCTGGGTGCCAGCAGCTGCGAGGCTCCCCACGAGCTTTCAGTTTTCATTCAGGCCTCGGAGGTCCTGGCGGCATTGTCTTTGCAGGGCAGGTGGCCCCGGTTCCTGGAGCGGTGGGTTTCTGCCAGCTGGCGCCTGTGCTGCCGCCCTCCGATTATCCTGTTAGCATTTCTTGGCTGTCAAGTACCTGGGGTGCTGTGATGAATGAGACAATATTTGTACTGTCTTAGAATATGTTTTTTTCTCTGCAAGGATGTGTGACCGGAACGGAGGCCGGCGGCTGCGCCAGTGGCTGATAGAACAAATTGACAGCAACATGTACCCAGGGCTGATTTGGGAAAACGATGAGAAGAGCATGTTCCGGATCCCCTGGAAGCACGCTGGCAAACAAGATTATAATCAGGAAGTGGATGCTTCCATTTTCAAGGTAAAGACTGGACTTCCCTCCTCTGACCATGAGCGTAGTTTCCGTCTTCCCTCACTGGCCAGTGCAGAGGTGGAGTGACAACTGTCTTATTTTCTTGAAATTAATCCAATTTTTAAAAACAAACATTGACTGAGTGCAGAATGTGTCTAAAAAAACATCCTAGGTATCTATTATATGACTTAATCACTGTGAAGTCAGTTGTGTATTGGTGGCATTTTTTTTTTTTTATTTTGATGAGATTGAGGACACTTCATTCTTGCAAAGTTATTACTTCTGTTTGGCAATGTGGGGTCAGCTCAGCGAGAGAGACACCAACTGTCATTACTTCTGGGCTGGGTCATATGGGATGTCCTGCAGCAGGTGTCTCAAGCAGCCTGACTTCCCTTGAGAATAAGTGAGCACCCCAAGCGCTGAGGGACTTGCTGTGTGGTTCTACCATTTGCACTGTGACTGCCAGTGTTGGCTGAGAGTTTGCTCTGCCGCAGGCCTGGTCCCCCAGGGTTTGTGTTTTCCTCTCACACAGTCTTATGCAGGAGGTGCTGTCCTTGTCCTTGCTCTGTAGGGTCCCTGAGAGGAGTGACTTGCCTAAGATTTCACATCTCTTGGAGAACAGAGCCAGCGTTTGAACCCAGGCAGCCCATCCCTGAGCCCGTGCTCCCAACCCCCAGCAGTACCGATAAACAGAGGTTCCTTTGCCATTGCATCTCGGTTCAGGCAGAGGAGCCAGCAGCCGGAGCAGTGCAGCTCTGCAGCCCAGCAGGTCATCAGAGCCTCCTGTGGGCTCTTCTGAGGCTCCAGAAGCACAGCCTCCGCTGTCTAAGCGATCTGGAGCCCTAGGTCAAGGTGAGCCCAGGCTTCACCTTTGGCGAACAGGTGCGCTGCAGGTGGTCTGACTCAGAGCCCGGGCTGCAGACTGCTGCTGTGTGTGCACCAGTTCTGTGGGCCCCTGGGCAGAGTGAGTGGGCATAGAGGAGGAGCGGGGAGGCTGAGCTGTGGAGGGCCAGCATCAGACCCGAGACCTTGGATGAATGAGGGAGCCGAGTCCTGCAGGACCTCAGTGCAACATGACTCTTTGCCAGGGATGACTTGTCTCCTGACACAAAAAAATAAAAAATGACAAAAGATCATAGCTTCATCTCAGAGTGGAGCATAAGTAGGTCAGAGCTGGTTATGGGGCATTAACCTCCTTCAGGTCTCTGTCTGACATCTACCGTTTGGTTAAATCTGTCACTTGGAGTTGCAGATCTCTTTGAGAATATGATGCCAGTGACTGGCCCTCTCCAAGAAGAGTGGGCACGTGTGGGTGTTTTGCACTCACCTCCAAGGGGCCCCACGGGACCTGAATGTCCGTCTAGCAGATTTTTCCCATCAGGAACCCCAGGTCAGGAGCCAGGACTCTGCCAGGTTTTTGAGCTGCTGGTGCCTCGTTTCTCGTTGTTGGAGGAATGTGATTCCTCTCTTGTAGAGGTTTTCTGCCTTTAACATTATGGTGAACTACTTTTGGGAATGACTGTAGCTAAATATAAACAGTGCCCAAGGCCTATCCAGTCAGCTGGGAATTCTAGATTATAGGTGGTTATGAGCCAGGGTGCCTCAGCCTCGGCCTGGGTGACATCTAGGGCCATTTGTTCCTTGTTTGGGGCCGTCCTTTGCCCTATAAGATATTCAGCAGCATCCCTGACCTCGATCGACTAGATGCCAGCAACACCTGCCCCCCGCAAAATGTGACAACCAAAAATGCCTCTGATATTGCTGGATGCCTCCTGGGGGAGCGCTTTCCCTTGCCACCGTGAGAACCCCCCTGGGAGCTGACCAGGGCCGGGATGAACAGATTTGGGCAGAAGTGTGGGGTGCGGGGGGCACGGATGCAGGCTGTCCATCAGTAACGCCTCTTCATGGGGGGGGTCAGTGGAGGGGGCTGGACCAGTAGGCCCCCTAACCCTGGCTCGCGGCTTGCTGGTGGAGATGTAAGTCCTCTTCCTTCACGCTGCTCCCTGCTTCGACTTATACTCTGGGGGTAATGAAATAAAGCCCCAGATTTATACATCTTATGCAATGTGCTTCATGGCCGTTTCAACAGCATTGAGAAAAATGTGCAAGATTCCCAATGTTTCCGTTGATTACGCAGTCTCTCATGTGGCAATCTGAAACGTGTGTACAATCTCAGCAGGAATGGGGGTGGGAGGGAGACCTGGGTGCCCACCCAGAGCTGGGCGGCCTTGGGAGGGCGACAGCCAGGGCTGGTGAAGCACAGGTGGGAAGAAGCCATGTGGCGCTTCCTTGAGTTGCGCTAGCGCCCTCCCTCCATCTTCTGAGGGGTGTAGCTCTGCAGCGCCCACCAAACATCTGCTGCTGGAAGAAGTCTCTAGGCAGGCCTGGGTTACATAGAACCACCTCAGGGACTTTCTGGTGAACTCAAGAACCTTTTTGTCTCACTCATTCCAAGAAAACCTTTTAAAAATGTATGAGTTAAGAAAAACCGTAGTGTTTTCTTGCCTAAGTAAGTGGATCTCAAGCAGCTTCTTGTACCAGAGACTCCTGCATTGCCCACAGGCACCACTCTGAGGTCAGCTTCGTGGTGTAGACCAGAGATGTGAGATTTTTGAAAAAGACATTTAGCTCATTTTGTACTGTCCCTGAGTAGACTGATGAGGCCCTGATACAGGCTCACATTTTTTAAAAAAAATGTATTTTGCCTCCTTTTCATAATGCTGAGTGGAGGAAATCAAGTTAAGGGGGAGGGGTTTATGATTCATTGGTGGTTCTCTCAAAGACCAGGCATTGTGATAGTCTTGAATGGGTTAGAAGTTACTTAGAAGCACAGATATTTCAAATTCAGTAGGCTTTTGAGGACAAAATAGCATTTGACTTTTAAACTACACGATGAGATGGTCATGGTGAATCAGGAAGAGTTCGCGTCCCCGGGTCTCTGCTGGCCACTGAGGAGCGCAGAGCACCCTGGGACCGGGTGGCGCGGGTTATGGTGGGGACGGGACAGCCATGGTAGCGGCTGCTGGTGGGACTCAGAATCACCCCGTTCTCTCTGGGGTTAGCTCCAGGGTCTTGACAGATCACCCGGCTGGGAGATAGTTTAGAGACAGCCTGACAACCCTCAAAGGGATGCAGTGGAGGCTGGAAGCGGGGTGCCTGATACCAGCCCGGGGCACTTTCTGCCCATGGGCCCTGCTTTGCTTTATGATGCCCTGGCTGTCTTCATGGGGAGCGTGTGAGCCTTGAATGACCCAGTGAGTATGCCAGGGCCCTGTAGGCCGTGCAGTTGTGGGTGAGCACCAGCTGGTCCTATCATTGCCCCCGAGTCCATGCTTTTCAAGGTCCATTTGTAATACAGATTAGCTGAGTGGTTCTCGCGCGCACATGCACATGTGTGTAGCATGGTTTTACCTCCCTGGGGACACTTGGCAATGTCTGGAGACATTTTTGGTTGTCACAATGGGGATAGGGGTCCTAATGGTGTCTAGTGGGTGGAGGCCAGGGATACCGCTAGGCATCCAACCAGGCACAGACTGATTTGACCCCAAATGTCAGGAGTGCAGAGGCGGAGACACGTGGATTTAATGTAATATTTGAAATTACTGTTCAGTGTGTCCATAGTTTGCTCCTATATTTCTCTGAAGAAAGAAATCCACGCATGGTCTGTGATACAGTTAATAAGTGATTGAAAAAAGGATCGAAAAGGATTGAAAAACCACTTAAACTTTTAAACATAAAGGGGAGTTTTTCATCTACGTCAGATAGGGAAGTGACCACTCACACCCACTGGTAGGAATGTTCTAACAGTTTCTTTGCCTGAGGCAAAGATGCAAAATCTGAGCTCTGGGCGCAGATGGAGGAGGGCACTTTGGCAGTGAACTATGAAGTCTTATCTTCTACGAGGAGGAAAAAATCCGAGACTACTTTAAGTGGAGCTGTGATTTGTAGGGGAGCTTTGGGGCTTTTGGGATTGTGGTCCCCTGGCCATCTAAATCAGAATCACTGGGATGCTGGCTAAAGATGCAGGTTCACAGACTTAACCCCTCCCAGCGAATGAGAGCTTTGAGGGGCAGGCCCAGGACTCTGCATTTTACGAGCTCCCAGGGGATTGTCATTAAGCGGGAGGACGCTTGCTGCAGTGGAGAGCCACCGGGTTGCACTCAGGGCAGCTGGCGTTAATCCCAGACAGGGCCACCTTGGGGAGGTCACCCCTTGGAATTGCGTTTCCCCGAGTGGAGTTGAGAATTCCCTCTTGATCTGGTATTCTTTTAGGTTAGAAGGTGTGTCTGATTACGCCCAATGCCAAAGGTTATTTTCACCTGACAGTAGTGCCCTCGTAATGGATGTTTCCTGTATTCCAATTCTGAAATGACAACTATGCCCATTCACATGTTTGATTTTTTTTTTAAAGATGTTATTTATTTATTTATAGAGAGGGGAAGGGAGGGAGAAAGAGCGAAACATCACTGTGTGGTTGCATCTGGCGTACCCCCTACCAGGGACCTGCATCGCAACCCAGGCATGTGCCCTGCACTGGGAATCGAACCTGTGACCCTTTGATTCACAGGCAGATTTTTTTTTTTTTCTTAATGATGCCTCATTCTACATGTTGACTTTTAAGTGTCCAGTTTAGAATCTATGTTCCTAGTTCAGAGTTTAAGGTTTGGAGAGGTCAGAAGACAGAGATGTGGAAAAAAAAAACAACAAATAACCAACAGAGAGGGAAAACATTTCATTGCATTTTAAACAGTGCCCTGGGGAGACGAGGGGAAGGCTTGAATAAATGCCAAAATGCAAAACAAAATTTCTATTAAAAGTAGCAGGGCAGTGGACAACCACACTCAGAATTTTTGCAAATGTTTCCTTTTCATGCTAAATTTTCATGCTAGGGGTGATTAAAGGAAAAAAAAAAAAACAAATTGTTCTTTGTTTTGAACATTCTAGTGAAACCAAGTGCACTTACTTCCTCCTTGTGCTACTTGACCTCAGGCTCCTCCTGGCTCTCTGGTCCAGGGAAGGATTTCTGTGGGGGAGGAGCCATGGGCTGAGTTCCAATTTCAGCTCAGTTGGGAGATCTTGGAGGACCCCTTCCTGGCCTGGGTCTTTTTACTTTCGTTGAAGAGAGTGGTTGGATGGCGGTCTCTGAGCCTTGAAATTCCTTGAATGAGGGTTGATAGCCAAGAAATGGCTTTCAGGACGGCGAGAATGGGCTGGTCCGGACTGTGGCCGCGGAGACCTGTGGTCGAGGGGCCCGCTGTGTGTTTCACATGCTGCTTTCTTTTCCTTTAGGCCTGGGCAGTTTTTAAAGGGAAATTTAAGGAAGGGGACAAAGCTGAACCAGCCACATGGAAGACCAGGCTACGCTGTGCCTTGAACAAGAGTCCAGATTTTGAGGAAGTGACAGACCGGTCCCAGCTGGACATTTCCGAGCCATACAAAGTTTACCGCATCGTCCCAGAGGAAGAGCAAAAATGTAACTATCCTGGATGGGCACTCAGTCCAACAGAGGCTGCCTAGCTTACAGCCGCCACCAAGGGAGGGCCTGGGCCTGGGCTGGAAGCTGTCACCCACAGGGTCTGGGGCAAGTGGTTTTAGACAAAGTAATTCTCTCCTTTGTATAAGGAGATACAGAGATCTCTCTCCACTGACCTCACCCACTGAGCAAGTGGCAGCTTCCAGTTGCGCGAGAGGCGGATATGATGGGAGGAAAGGGCGGGGAGGTTGTGAGTTGCAGGACATCCCAGGCATGAGATTGGGCAGGAGCAGAGATCCTCTGACAGCGTGGAAGGGATTCTTTTTGTTTTTTAGCACCTCTCAGCGGAGGCTAGGGGAAAATCGGGGATAAAGAAGGGATGGCTGGGGTAGAGGGGAAAGTTCTTGAGGGAATTTGCAGATGGTGGTGCTTTAAGTTTCATTGCTATAACTCAGGATATTGTTAGATCCTGATCATTGTTTGAGAACTCAGGATGTGATAATTCCTGAAGTTTCTTCCTGCTCTAAAATCCCAGGGAAGCATTTGTGAAGAATTTAAAGCACGGATAGCAACCACGGCTGCACATCCCCCAAGACCTGACTCCCCGCTCTAGGTAGACATCACTAATCAATCAGGATGTATGGAGCTCAGATCTGGCCTTAGAATCCTTTTCAAAGTAGTGTCTTATGCGGCTGCTATGAATCAGAGCTGGCCCATGAGATACAATCTAATTGCCATCTCTGGTTTAAAACGTTCTGTTAACACACTGATTTTCTTAGCCATTAGATGTAGCAATTAGAATATTGGCATGGCATTCTTTTCTCCTTCGAAAAAGTCTATTAGTAGTCCAGAAAGTCCCGAAAGGAATAGAGCCCTCGACAGCTATTGAGGGCTATGCAGAAGTTCTGAGTTTGAGCTCTTTGCACTGTGGGAGGGTTAAAAATGTTGATGTATAATTTTTAAAAAGTTAAAATTGTGACCTAAAAAATATATAGTGAGCCTGAGTCAGAGAGTTATTTCAGTCATTAATCAATGTGGGAACCCGCACAATGACAAAGATTGTTCAACAGATAGTGACACACTGGCATACGTGGCCAGCAAAGGACAGAAGGCTGACCAAACCCGTGAGCATCTGACCTGGCAGTCTAACCATAGTTTGGCTGTGATTTTTTTCTACTGGTCATTTGTAGCCTAGTTGGCTATAAATTAACACCTGGGTTTACTGAGTCTGAAGCCTAATCGATAGTCAGCAGTAAGTCAAACACACTGGCCTTGCCCTGGAAAAATCAGATAACTCTCAGGGGAAACTTCTTAGATAATCCTCTAGAATAGTTTTGAAAGGCCGAACAGTCACCTTTCTGCTGTATTTCCCAGTTTTTGGATATTTTTTGTGTCATCACAAAGTAAATTGTGATTTGAAGGAATAGAGAAGTTTCTCTTACTCCCCTACCCCCAGGATCAGCCAAGCTTGAATGGACAGGTGACCCTAACTTGTTTATAGCATAGAGTGCAGCCAGCATCACCTGCAAGGGTGGATGTTAAAGAAACAGGTTCTCAGGGGGGCAAAGAAACGTTGCATTTGCATAATGCCTGCATGGACCCATTCCCCTCTGTACTTCAGTGGTTTGCAAGCTACATGGGAGGTGCCCCACCTGACCTCTACTTCCCCCATCAACAGCTTCTAAGTGAATTCTTGAATCTATCAAAATGGAATAAAAATTCAGTGAGGATGAAACTATAGGCCAACTCTATAGATCATTGGGACTAATGAATTCCAGCAAACGAGTGTTCATGGGTTAGAATACATCTCACTGATAAACTTAATGAGGCGAGTTTCTGGCCATGAAAGAGGCATAAAAACAAGGAAGAAACTTGTCTGATCCAGAGTGCCTTTTGTGGAAATGTTCATGCACGTATAGTGATTCCCGTCATAGGCGGGTTCGAACTGGGCATGGGCCAGTCTTTGTGGCATGCTGTGCGTGTGCGTGGCATGTGTGTACAGATGTACATGTGTATATTTGGAAAGGCCAAAAAGAGATTTCCTGCCAATTAACCTGAAAAAAAAAAAAAAAGAAACTCTAAGCTGCAAACACATTTTGCTAGGAAACCTTCAAGCGTCTTCAAGTACCTAGCTTGTAAGTTTAACCTCTGTACAGTGGAAAATGCCTGATGTGAAGGATACTTTTTAAAAATATTTTATTTATTTATTTTTAGAGAGAGGGGAAGGGAGGGAGAAAGAAAGGGAGAGAAACATTGATCAGTTGCCTCATGCACACTCCTTGACTAGGGATTGAACTCACAACCCAGGCATATACCCTGACCAGGAAATGAACTGGTGACCTTTCACTTTGCTGGGTGATGCCCAACCAACTGAGCCACACTGGTCAGGATATGGTATAAAGGATCTTTAATATGAATTCATTTTAGATCCCAGCAAACAGAAGGAAGAGACTAAAGTGTTGCCTTTGTCCTCCAAGTGTTAGAAGCAACAACACCCAACTTCTCTCTTTTGATTCTGCTGATCAGATGACTGAAGAAGCATGAGAAAATAATTTCTAGGCCTTTCCCAAACTAGGGAAGACACTTACTGACTTTTATTTCCTTCAACTCAGCATTAAAAAACAAAACAAAACAGCAACCACCGATTATGGCTTCAACGATGGTTGTGATGATGTGTCAGTGCTATGGTCACATTTTGTCGTGTTTGTCTGCTTTTCCGTAGGCAAATTAGGTGTGGCAACTCCAGGCTGCGTGAACGAAGTCACTGAGATGGAGTGCGGTCACTCTGAAATTGACGAACTGATCAAGGAGGTAAGTGGAGACAGCATTTCCAGAGGTCCGGCCTGACAGCGGAAGCCGGGTGTGTTTTGGTGAGCAGTGGCATCGATCTTGTCCTGCCAAGGCATCCAGGCCCTCGGGCTCTCCCGGCAAACCTTGTCTCCACCCCGACAGAGAGAGAGGACTGGGCTGCCTGTGTGAGGCCAGCCTCTGCCAACGTTCCACCTGGTGCCCCCTCTGTAGTCCCCAGGGCTGGGGCTGAGCTGCTCACTCTGTGTCAGTGATGTGCCCTTAAGCTCTAGACTTTTTGCATTTAAACATTCTGAATGGCAGTCTTTTGTAATGCATCATATATTTTCTTGCCTTTGTAGCAGATTGCAGTGAACAAAATGTAAACGTTCCTCCTTGCTTGGGGTTGTCCCTATGGCATGATTATTGGACTAGCTCTTGTGGCTGGTGGGCTGTCTGTCTTCCAATACACAGCTTTTCATCCTTGATGGGTTGGAAATCTGTCTGACCAAGCTTGTGAGAATTGTATGCAAAGTCATAGTGAATATGCTATAAGAAAGGCTTAATGGGGCTTCAGGCAATGGGTTTTGGTGTACTTGGATGTCATTTTCTCCTACCTTTGGCCTTTTAACTATGTTTTTTATGGCTATTACGAGGTGGATGTTACATAGCTAAAATAATTCCCTGGAGCCCTTAACAAAGGTGGTGTGGGTGTTATATAAAGTCATAATTCACACAGCAGTGCCAGAATCCTTGGGAGTAGCTTGGCGGTCCGAAAATGCAGATAACAAAATAAAGTCTACTCTAAGCTGCCTCACTTTTCTGCACGTGGCAGCTCTTAAGTTTCTGGGTGGTCTTTGGCAGCAGACCCACTGAATTCCTGGCTTTGAGTCTCCAACAATGTCCTGTTTTGCATATGAGGCTTTTCTGCCCACTCAGCTAAGAGACTGAGATAACCGGATTGGTGCACCAGGATCACAGGAAAAGCAGATTTCAAAAAGCAGATTACAAAAACTAACTGGATTTACCAACTTCGTTAAGAAATGGGTCAGAGATGGAAAATCTAGACATGGCACACTGAGTGAGATTCGCTAAAAGCGCAGCAGAGTCTATTCAAGAGTCTGTTCAGTGTCAGGGTGCGTTGATGTCCTAGAATGTGCAATGGGCAGTTTCATGTAAAAAGACAATAAACTTATCAGGGGCCCCGAAGAGGCTAGTAATTCAGTCACGTGTTTTGATCACTAAGCCTGCTGGAATAAGACATTCCACTTGGATCTTTATTTATTTAATTGTAGAGAGAGGAAGGGAGGGAGAAAGAGAGGGAGAGAAATATCAGTGTGTGGTTGCCTCTTGTGCACCCCCAATTGGGGACTTTGCCCGCAACTCAGGCATGTGCCCCGACTGGGAATCGAACCCGAGACCCTTTAGTTCGCAGGCCAGCACACAGTCCACTGAGCCGCACCAGCCAGGGCTTTTCTTGGATCTTTCAAGATGCAAATTAAAACTTCCCTTTTGTATTATGAGCTAAAGGTGACGATACAGTTTTAGCTAAGCATAAGCCATTCATCTTTATAACACCGGGGTCTTGCTTTGGAAGCCTGGTGACTGCACTGTCTTCTCTCTTGTCCCTGGTCCCACAGCCTTCTGTGGATGAGTACATGGGGATGGTCAAAAGGAGCCCGTCACCGCCTGAGGCCTGCAGGAATCAGCTCCTCCCAGACTGGTGGGTGCAGCAGCCCAGTGCAGGTGAGGATGGGGGCCCAGGGCTCCTCACAAATTGTGTGGGGCTGGACTTGGAACAGTTTCCGCCTTCTAGCCGTCCGGGTGGGGTGGGGGCGGGGTACTGATATGTTTTATTGAAGGTAACTGAGCCCAGAGAGGTGGCTCTGGAGGCCACCCAGAGCCACGCCCTTAGCCCCATTCGCCTCTGCCTCCCAGGAAGCTGCACATGTCTTTCCCATAGGAGGTGTCTGCTCCTCCCCCCTTGCCCTCCCCCCCCCCCCGCTCCCCCGTCCCTAGGGAGGTTGTGGGGAGGGAGTCAGTGAACGTCTCCAAGACCAGAGGGGATTCACAGCTCGGGGCCACTGTTGGTCTGTCAGGCTGCGACCCAGTTTCCTCAGACATTAGGGACCCCTCAGAACCAAGCACAGCCCAGAGCAGCTGGAGAGCGGGAGGGCCCAGGAACGGGCTGTTGCTCATGCGGAGCCCTGGATTTGAACCCTCTGTCAGAAGCTGCATATCTTACATGAGGCTCAGTTCGCTCATCTATAAAATGGAGACCCCAGGACCAGCACTATGGGGTCTTGAAGCTAAATGAGCCATTCACCCTCCTATTAGCTCCCGATAACTGCCTGCCTCCTCACCCCTGCCACTGCTTAAAATGACCCTCTGTCTGGGAGCATGAGTGCCTTTGCTTCCCCCCTTGGTCTCTCCCCTCCCTCCCCGCTGTGGGAGACCAAGAGGTGATAGCTGGCCTGGCGGGCCTCAAAGCTTGTCAGGGTGTGGGGTGCGATCAAATCAGGGGCGCTGGGGGAGCCCCCTGTCCCTGCGCTAGGCAGCACCTCCGAGAAAGTTAGGTGGGGCCTGGGCTTCCTTCGAGACAAGCCCTGGATGGTGGGCATGCAGTCCGGCTGTATTTTGGGAGCGAGCCCTCAGGGGGAAGGAAATGTGGCCCCACAATGTCACACTGACACATGGTCAGAAATCCCACAGCACAGAGGAAGTCTCCCCCTCCATGCTGGTTGGGTTGAGGTCTGGTTTTCTGCATTTATGAAACATGGGTCGCCACACTGAGAGGGAAAAACACCAAATTCAGCGGAAGCCTGTGGCAGGGCCTCAGGAGCACGCCATATGTGGCTTTTGAAGAAACTCTTGGAGAGGGGGAGCCTTGGACTGCTTCCCCTGCACTCCCCTGGGGCTGGCGGCATCTGACTCTGCTTTTCTCTTTGTCCCTCAGGCTTGCCCCTGGTGACGGGGTACACCGCCTACGACGCGCACCATTCAGGTACGGCGCGCTCTCAGTGGGGCGAGGTGGGGGCGGGGCGCGCTTTGAGGACAAAACTCAGAGGACCTGTTGTGGGTTCTGGACAAGCACGATCAGGTGTCAGAGGTCAGGCACCTGATTCCTCCTTTTGATTGTTTGGGAGTGAGCAAGTGGCTGGCCTTTTGAGCCTCTTCTTGGATTGGACCAACAAATGTCCCCGAAGAACTCTTTCCAGGGAGAGAGAGTATGGGGACAGACACACTCCAGGCCCAGCTCTGCCCCCTCACATGGCCCCAGGCAGAGTAACTGAACCTCTCGGGACCTCAGTCTTCTCATCTGTAAAGTAGGAACAACAGTGATGGCTACCTCAGGGGAGTGTTGTGAGCTTTACGCGTGGCTTCCTTAAAACTTTCTGGTAGGGACATATTGGCCAGTGGATGGGGCCAGTGTCAGTTTCTTTTAGTCTCTCCCACACCCGAGTTTATAACAATAAAAATACTAATAGCAATAATGATGGCGATACTGTTGGTAGTGATGGTGACGATAACGATGGTGATCGTGGTGATGATGGCAGTGATGTTGGGGGCCAGCATGAGTGAATGCTAACTGGTCCAGGATCATCGGTGAGGCTTTCACGGCCTGATCTCCCTATTGCGTCCCACCATTCTGGGGCAGGTACTGTTATTACTCCCACTGTGCCAGCTCAGAAACTCTGGTCACATAACTGTGGGCTGCAGACCTGGGAGATGGCCCCGGGCTGTACCATCCGTGCTCCTGTCCCCCGCAGAGAGAGGTGGCCTCTGTGCCACGCGATTGTCGAATTATGCTGGGGACTTGGACTGCGCTGCTGCCAGTGGCCCCTGCAGTTTATATTCAGGCTCACTGATGGCGTCTTCGGAGTAAAGGAAGCTGGAGCCTTCCCTAACGGCTGCCGGGCTCTGTGAGAAGGGAACAGCCTGACTCATCAAGGTGGACCACATAGCGCTGGGGCCAGGGGTCCGAGGCCTGGCGCAGAGGAGGAAACGGGGCTCAGAGAGAAGTGTCTTGACCGAGGCCCCGATGGGATGAGTGTATCGGATGGTAGAAGCAGGCTCTTACCCAGGCGAGAAAATTTTAAAGCAAACAATGCTCCCATTCTTTGGGCTCTTATCTGCCCTGTGAGCTGGAGACTGTCATGACTCTGGCTTCACAGATCAGGAAACTGAGGCTCATCCAAGATCACACAGCTGGTAAGCGGGGTTGCCGAGTTCGAACCCTGGGATATCTGCTTTTAGATATACTCTGAGCAGTGCCATGTTCACCAGAGGCCCAGCTCCTAGAGGCCCTGGGTCATGGAACTGGGCCTTTGATCTGCTTAGCTCTGGGCCACGGCCCAGGGAGTCTGCTGACCAGTGCTTTCCGGGGGCAGGAGAGCATCCAGGCACCGGGCTGCGGTGTCCTGGTGAGGAGGCAAGGTCTGAGGGGGAAGCTTCCTCAAGCTATCCCTGAGTGCCTCAGCACGCAGCAAGCAGAGCGACTCGCGGCCACTGCCTCCCGCAGCGAAAATCCTACAACATCCCTCGAAGCTGTGGACGTCGGCGCCTCTGCCCAGTTCCCACAGCTCCTTCCCCCATGGAAATACGTTGTCAGGGGTCCTCGGTTCTTAGCCATGCAGGGACAGGTAATGTAATCAGTGAAATGTCAGGTGAAAGACAATAGGGAGTGGCAGAGACTATGGCAAAGGGAGGGAACCACACTGCCCTGGGCTGCTGGTGGTGGTTCCTGCCCTGTGGACTTGCAGACGCAGCCAGGCTTCATTTTTCCATTTTTCTAGAGGAACCAAAGGTCTGGATTTGTAGGTGAAATTTTCCCATATAAAAAGTTGGCAGCAAATCCATGTTAACTACACCCCACTGTGCTGGTGGATCCAAATGTGGCTGTGGCTGCCTGTCTGTGCTCTCGGCTGTATGCATTTGAAATAACGGGTGAACAGTGATGTCTGAAACTGACAGTGTGGCCAGGTGCTTAAGAACACAGATGTGGAGCCAGCCTGCTGGGGGCAGAGTGCACCCAGGCCCCGAGGTGGCAGTTGGGCCATTGACGGCAAGCACCTTAACTGTCTTGACTCAGTTTTCTCACCTGGAACATGGGTATAATTGTTAATAGTCTCCACCTCAGGGGATTGTTGTGAGGACAAATAGTGGTAATAGGTCCAAAGCACCAGAATAGCACTTGGGATGTGTGTGTAGACCAGGGACTGTGGTGTATTGATTTCAGGAGTCTCATCTAAGTATTGTAGCTAATCTTTTGTCAGGCTACTTCAACCGATTTAATAACTGCTTTTGTGGTACTGACATATGCTCATTCAAATGCAAGCTCATTCAATCCTCACAGCCACCCAATGAGGAAGTTGTATTATCGTCTACACTTTGTTAATAGGGAAACTGAGGCACAGAACGGGGGAGCTGTCGCCCCGGGCCACACAGCTGGGGTAACGCACCAGGCAGTAGGCTCTGGCGTGTGTGCCCTGCCACTGCGGCTGCGGTCAGACTGTCCCGTAGCAGGGCCGTCTTGCTGGGTGGGTGGAAGTCACGGGAGCAGGACAGGGTTGCAGTGTGACTCTTGGGATGGCCAAGGGCTGGACCGAGGACCTGGGGACCCTTGACGAGTGGCTTCTGCTCTGTGGGTCCCCACTGCTCACCAGAAGGGTGCGGCGAGTGACGGCTCAGGCCCTTCTAGCTAGCTCGAACCTTCGCTGAGCCAAAGCTGTCCCATGGCTGTGGGGTCACCAGGACAGCCCCTCCCGAGCATCCCTGGAACACCTTGTCTGCTGCTCCCTCCCAAGCAGCCAGTCCACACAGCCGAGAGGCACTGGTGTGGAAGAAGGCCTCGGCAACGACAGAGCACAGGGGCAGCGTGTGGGCAGAGTCCTCTGGAGTGTTTCGTTCATTTGGGACAAAGTTCAGAATTGTTTCGGAGCGAGGGAAGTGGAATGTGTCACGTCATTAGGCGATGTGGACATTGCAGACGTGGAGCGTAGGAGGATGGTGAATGGGGCTTAGTGAGACGTGGGGTCGGACGCTGGTGCTGCCCCCTCCCTGCTGGGTGACCCCACCTGGGCCTTCATTTCCTCAAATGTCAAATGAGTGAGTGAGACGGGAGCACTCGCAGCCCTGGTTCCGGGCCCTGCCTGAGCCCAGAATGCCGGTTAACCCAGCATGGGAGAAAATGGGGCCTGGGGGCAGGAGTGGGGCGTCTCGGGATTCGACTGAGCAAATGTTTCTTGAGCAAAGCCCAGTGGGAGGGTCCAAGGAATTGTAAGTGCACAGCGGCATTAGCCCAGGTGAGGCGGGTGGCCGCCCACAAGGCCGCCCCCGACAGCACCTCACAAGTCTAGGGGGTACCGTGGAATTGGGCGGCTCGCAGCTTACGCGGTTCCAGGGGTCAGCCTCGCATTGGCCCTAAAAGTGTGTATTATTCTTAGAGTTTAAGGCTATTAACATGCATATTTTCCAGGAGTATCCCTGAATTTACCCATTAGCTTTATTCCTATCTCAGTTTAGAGGTTCTCAAATTTTAGACAATTGAGCCGCACCTTCACAATTGGTTTTCATATGTGGGCGCCACCTGGACTATTATTAATATCCTAATTTTCTCTACATCTTACATTTTAAAACTTAAATTTATTTGAAATGGGGGCCATCTGTCAGTGCCTGGAAAAGGAGAACCAGTGTTGTTTATTACAAATAGGAAGGCAGAGGTCAAAGCAAATTCACTGAAAACCAGATACACTGTTTAGAAATTCTAGTCAGATGTTACCACCCACCCAAGGCTTAGAGCCCCAACACTTCCCCTTGGTTAAAAAGGGGGTTGTCAGGCTTGGGTGTTAAAGATGCATCAGCATCAAAGTGGGGCTTTTTTTTTCCCAGGTGATCAGAGATTGAGAGCCTAGGCATACTTATGTTCTACAATGTTACCTAGATACATAGCTGTATCTACTCTAGATCACTGTAGCCTGTTGCCTACAGCATAACACAAGGAAATGCTGGATCTGAATTCAGGGTTTAGTGAAAATAAAGATATAATCTTTTTCTTGACAAATTCACAGTTCCCTTGAGGCTCCCTGGATTTCAAATTAAGAATCTGTTTTTTAATGTTTATATAAATTAAGAATCTGTTTTATAGTATAACGTTGTACTATATATAGTATAACATTGTATAACAGCATCATAACAGTACCTGTGAGGTGGAGCTAGTTTCCTAAGAAATTGTCAAAACCGCCTTATTCTCAGGGTGACTCGTAAATTGAAGCAGCTTTCAGCTCTTCCCAGAAGTGCAGAGAGCACCATGGTAGTTTTCTATGTTCAGAATCATTGGTTTCCTTAGTAATTCTGTGTGCTTATTCATGCTTACAAAATCATTATTTCTAGAAGGGGTGCACGGACTTCCTAGAACTCCAAAATGATCCTAAACCCACAAAACGTTAAGCCCCCAGTTTGAAAGAAAGGCTCCGGGCATCTGCACAGGAAGGACCAGGGAGCCCCCCTTTGCCTCAGTGCCTGACCTGTCCCCTCCTTCCCTGCAGCCTTCTCCCAGATGGTCATCAGCTTCTACTATGGGGGCAAGCTGGTAGGCCAGACCACCACGACCTGCCCTGAGGGCTGCCGCCTGACCTTGAGCCAGCCGGGACTGCCCAGTGGCAAGATGTATGGGCCGGAGGGCCTGGAGCTGGTGCGCTTCCCGCCCGCAGACACCATCCCCAGCGAGCGGCAGAGGCAGGTGACGCGGAAGCTGTTCGGCCACCTGGAGCGAGGCGTGCTGCTGCACAGCAGCCGGCAGGGCGTGCTGGTCAAGCGGCTGTGCCAGGGCCGCGTGTTCTACAGCGGCAACGCTGTGCTGTGCAAGGACCGGCCCAACAAGCTGGAGCGTGACGAGGTGGTCAAGGTCTTCGACACCAGTCAGTTCTTCCGAGGTCTGTACCGCTGTTGCCTTGCTGCCCGAGTCTTAAAGATCATGCCTCCTTCCCAGGACCATGTGGTCCCGCGGTCGCCATGGGGACATGTAGGAGCCAGAGGCACAGCTGCGGCAGCGGCGCCCCTGCATCTGAATTCTGCTCTGCACTTTTTTACTGAGGGATCCTGGGGAACCTCTCTGTGCCTCAACTGCCCTGCGTGTAGACTGGGAGGTGCTGTATGGTACCTTCCTCACACAGCTGTTGGGAGAATTAAGGACCGGAGCGCCTTGGGCTCTTAACCGACTGTCCCTCTGCCCCAGAGCTGGTTACAATGCAGTTCTTTCCGTTATGCCTGTGGGGTCAGAATTTGCATCTTGGCCAGGCCCAGGGGTTTGGTGTGTGCTGACCTTGTAAACCCTGAGTCCTGGGACAACACCCACACATAGCAGAGCGGCGTGTCCCCTTTTCTCATTTGTGAGGCATATAATTAGCATCCCGTTGTGTGCGTGTCTTTTTTAGAAGGCCAAGGTGTATGAAATCAGTCGGGCTGCCTGCAGTACTGAGTAGGAACCCTTCTCTGTGCTCCCAAAGCTCTCTGCGTCCTCCCTGTCACAGCCAGGAGCTAGTGTCACATCTCTGCTGCCACCGGGCCTGAGAATCCCTGGAGGCTTCCTGGAGAAGGGGCCCTGGAAAGGCGGGCGAGGTGGCCTGTGTGAGCCCAGGTGTGAAAACACCGAGCAGCAGCAAACACCCGCCCCTCCCGCTCATGTCTTTCCAGAGCTGCAGCACTTCTACAACAACCAGAGCCGGCTTCCTGACAGCAGGGTGGTGCTGTGCTTCGGAGAAGAGTTTCCAGATATGACTCCCTTGCGCTCCAAGCTCATTCTTGTGCAGGTAAGAACAGGAAGCTTTAGGGCTTGCAGCCAGATCTCCTGGCCTGCACGCGAGGACCCAGTTTACTTTGGGCTGTGGAACAGGCAGCAAGGACTGGGGTACTCCACTTGTGCGCAGAAGCAGGCCTGGGTGAGACCTGCAAGCGGCAGAAGTGAATTCCTGCCACTTCTGAACTATCTTCTCATGTTCTAGGACACTCACAATCTGTGTCCTCCCCCCAGCCCTTCTTTTGTTTGGTTTGTTTTTCAAAATCAAAACCTCCTTCCCAGAAAGATTCTACTTTGCTTTATGGTCTAAGTGACAGATTAAGGTTTTCCAAGCCCTTATGTAACTCTAGCCAAAGCAATGAAGTTCTGACGGTGGAATTTTGGACCAGGTTGGGACAATATTGAGAAAGCATATGTAAGATGCTTTGTAGGAATACCGCTTCTCCTTCCTCTGCCTCCTCCTATTCTGGGTTCATTCAGTTGGGACTCACGAGGAGGTTCTGAATGCTGGCTTTGGACTGGGGTCCTCAAAGACTCTGGCTAGGGTCAAAAGAAGACCCACCTCACGTCCCGCCTCCATCTCTGACCTCGTATACCATCCCTCCAGATTGAGCAACTCTACGTCCGGCAGCTGATGGAAGAAGCTGGGAAGAACTGCAGCGTGGGGTCCATGATGCAGGCTCCCGAGGAGCCCCAGCCCGACCAGGTCTTCCGGATGTTTCCCGATATCTGTGCCTCCCACCAGAGACCCTTTTTCAGAGAAAACCAACAGATCACAGTTTAAGTCTTTCTCTCTCTCAGGCACCCACCCCGTCCACACGTCACATTTCTTTATTACAATTACTGTTGTAATTATTTAAGATACATATCCCTCTGGCTTGGGGTGGGATGCCTACCTCTGCTCTTAATTTAGTAAGAGCACCCCCGAGGACTATGTCCAGACGTGGGCATGGAGACATGCCGCAACTGGTCTGGAAGCTATAACCAGAATTGCTGATTAAAACATTTACTTCCTGTATGTCTCCCTAATTATCATTAGTTGCCATGATCCTTTCAGCATTTTGGGATACTAGATATTTCCAAAGAAATTTGGAGAAGATCAAAGCTGCTTTTCATCTTTATCTTTCGTTAGAGCTATATAGATTTATGATTTCATGTGGATGATTCAATGTGAAGTGTCTTTTTGCTTTTAAGCATATCAATAAGATTTAAAAATAGATGCAAGCATACCTGAAATAAGTGAAAGGAAATCTTTTGGCTTGTTTGGAGAATGTATAGTCTTCCTAGAATTTGGTGCTAGAGGAGCATTTCCATCACCAAGTAAACTGATATATTTTTATCTTCAGACAACGAGAATTCTCCCTTTGTTGCTTTGTTGCCAGCCAACTTAGATAAATTTATTTTTTCATTTTTGTAATTGTCATCTCTGATACCGCTCTGTATTCCTCTTTCTAAATGCTTTTGCCCTGTTTTTAAAAAATGCTTTTGCCCTGTTTTAAAAAAAAAATATTTGTAATTTTAATTGTCCTATTATAAACCACTTGGACGCTTTTTTCTTTTTTTTATAAAGTGGGTAGGCTATAAACCACAAGTTCGAAAAATAATTCTGGATTGTACGAGCCTTTTGATTGTGGCTCTGATTCAGTTCCTCCACTCACTAACCCTTGGTGCTGAGTGTGTAGGTGGGGCTCGAGGGCACTGGGGGATGTGAATGACATGTGTTAGCCTGTCACCACTTCTCTGGCCCTGGGGTAGGCTGTGCCAGCGGGTAGGCCTCTGCCATCCCTACCACTCCATGAGGTTCAAGACGGCCCCGCTGCACACCAAATACTTCAACAGAGTCATCTAATGGGATTTCAATGGCGAAGTCCCAGTTTTGGCCGAGGAAGAACTTACCCGACTTACTGTCAAATAAGATGCATTTACTACCCAGAACGTGTCAAAATGTTTATCCTAAATCATGATGCTAATTGAGAGCCAGGGGCAGAAGAACGAGAACAATGGCTTGGCTTAAGAACGAGAGTAGTTCACGCCAGCTCACTGACCCCCCAGTATGCAGTGCACCGCATCTCCACGACCGCTTTCAGGACTAAAAAGCAGGTGAACATTTTTTTCCCTAAACAGACATATTTGGCTAGAGTGGGGTGCCCCTTATTTGTCTGTCTGTCCTGTGTGGTGCACTGGAGCTGGCAGAGATGGGCACCCGCAGTGCGTGCCGAGCACCACCCTACTTCGTGGTGGTACAGAGTTTGTTGATCTGGCTGACTCAGTCCCACCATGGCAGATTTTGGGGGGTTGGGGGGAGCTTTTACTTTGCTTCCACTCTCTTGGGGGTGGGGAGAAGAATCTTTTCAGTATTCTTTTCCCTTTATCACACAGCCTGGGTCACTCCCACCCCTGACTTAGGATCTCACAATGAAAGAGCAAGAAGGGGGCTCACTTGTCAACCCTCATTGGAAGAAATGGCAGGAGGAGTTGGGATTTGGGGGGCATATTGTTCCAGCTCAGTGAAGCTCGTGGCCTTGTAACTGCATAAGTCTCTGGCAAAATCTGAAAAACCCAAGGATGCCTCTTTGCTGTTCCTTTGTTCCTGCTGTGAACGTGATGCAAGGGTAGCCAGGCTGGATAATGACAGGACCTATGCATGTGTCTGCATTGATGTCCGCGGGAGGACTCCGGCGGAAGAGGACCCTCTGGCTAATAAAGCGAGCATTACATTTTTAGCTTCCTGAGATTTTGTAAGTCTGCAGATTTGCTTTTGTCTGTTGCACAAATGAATGTTAAAGCACATCTTTAATATGCAAAATGAATATTTATTTTTATACGCATTTAAAACAATATATTGATCTTTATTCATTATTAAAAATAAAGCGCTCTTTTTTAAAGCTCATGCGTGCTTTGCTTTTTTTAAAGCCACTTAAATATTTTATCATTTTCACCAGATTTTAGATACTTTAATGGGGGGAATTAAAAAAAATAATACCACACTGTGACTGTAAGAATTTTTTTGCTTGTTTTTTACTCATCCTCAGAAATATAGGTATGGAGACTTACAGGTTGTACAGAAATTCCTGGAGAAAATGTGGGGCACACCATGTTTTTATTAGAACCTGAGGGCCTGTTTGGGTTTCTGTACAGAGAGTGTGGAGAAGATAGGACTTGCGCGTTGATAGCGCTATCCTGGAAGCTGCTGGAAACGACTTATAAGAGGGCCGCCAGGGTTGGGTCGACCACATGTGATGGGGCTGTGTATCCTCCCGTTCATACGCATGCTCGTTGTGCTAGGTCCTGGGAGTAGAGCGGGGACACGAGGAACCCAGTGTGGCAAGCATGAAGAGTGCTCCCAGTTTAATGGGACATGACTGTTGAACAACCCAGGACAAACGACCAATTTCAGGGAGGCACAGCCTTTGGCCAACCCAAGTGGAGAGGCCAGCCCAACGCACTCGTCTCCATGGCAATAGGCTTTCTCTCTCCAGCCTCAGATGAGCCCAGTGGGAGCAGGGCTGTTCCTGTTCTCAGCTTATAGGTGAGGAAACTGAGGCACGGGTCCATGCTTGTCTGACTGTGGGCCATTTGTGCCTGGGAGGACAGCTCAGTCTGAGAGGCTTTCTGACAACATCTTGCGGCTGGGCTGTAGCTTGCTGACCTTGTGGAAAAGGTGGCAGCTGGACAAATCACTGACTTTCTTAGAAATCTTTGCAATGAGTCATGTTCATTCCCACATGCTGCAAGTAGGAATTTTGTTTGTATGCAAGCCTGTGTATTCCTCTGTCCTGTGGATTTAGGGCCAACTCGATAAAGTCTGCCTCTCCCCAGAGTTCAACACCCTCATGCAGACAGCTGACAAATTCTTCCCACTCAGCTTCTTACAGCAACCTTGGAGGCCGAGGAGGGAATTCAGGGACAAGATGCTTCAGGAATAACAAGACATTCTAGAAAATGCTGTTAGGACCATAGTTGTGAACTAGCTTTTGAGATGTTGACTCTTCTCTGGGACCCCGGGGGAAGCTAGTGGGAATGGGCTGATGAGGCATCTTGGAAAACAAACAGCTTTCACTCTTTGTAATTGAAAACATTTTAAGAAATTAAGATATTTCAACAATCACTGTCTGTGTTCCACTTAGTGCATTAACTTTGGCAAAATACATCTGGAACGCAAAGTTTTTGTTTTCCTCGGCAGTGTCTGGATGGATTGAGATGATGACCTCAGGGGTAAGCATCCACAGGCTCTGCTGGGCCCTGGGAATCCTGGGAGAATCCTACTGAAGGGCAGGCATCGTCGTGTGCAAAGGGGAAAATTCTCTCCACAAAGAAGCAATTATGGGAACTTACTCGTGCGAGTGATTCAGAATCTCCATAATAGAAAGTTTTGCAACTCGATTACTCAGAAATATTTAGAAATTCTTTCTAAAGAATGATCTATAATTAATGTCTCTAATTGTGACAGCTTAGTGGGTGGAGGATGGGGGAAGGGTGATTTCTCAGTGCAAAGATTGGCCGCTTTTGCTAAAAGTAGGAAGGAAGCAGCAAACATCTTGACCCACTCATATAACCTGTACCTCCCTCTTGGATATGTGCACTCTACACCGGCATATTAAGAGCTCTCGCCCATGGTCAGAAACTCATTTAGTCCAATGTTTCACAAATTTCTTTGCTCTGAGGTTATGCCTTACAATGTGTCGATGGATGAGTGGTGCCTAAGTGAGCATATTTCTTTCCTGCTCTCATTGGCCTGTCTTTCAGTCTAGAAGGAGTCTGCCAGGATGGGGATGGCCTCACTCGTCTCTTTTTGTGTAACAGACTACCCCCAAACTTAGTGGCATAAAAACGTTTTATTTTGCCCATGGATTTTGTGGGTCAGAATTTAGACAGGGTACAATGGTGTTGGCTTTTCTCTGTTTCACAAGGTCTGCAGCCTTATCTGGGAAAATGTGGGCAGCTGAGGGTGACTTGTGTGCCTGGGGGTGGGATCACCTGAAGGCCTTTCACCGACAGGTCGGGTGAATGGGCCAGAAGGATTGGAAGGCCAGGCACAGCTGGAGTGTCAACACTTGGTCTCTCCATGCAGTTTGTGCTTCCTCACAATATGGCGGCCTAGGGGAAGACCAATGGACAAAGGGGAAGCTGCAAGGCTGTTTCTGACCCAGCTTCAAAATCCAGTTAGCATCACATCTGCCACACTTTATTGGGTGAAGTAATCACAAGGCTGCCCAGATTCAGAACAGGCAGAGACCCCACCTTCTGATGATAGGAGTGTCCAGGAATTTGCAGCATGTTTTAAAACTGCCACGGGAGCCTAGAAACATTTTCTCCTCTGTGACTCATCTGATATACCTTTAACAAGTCTTCTGTCTTCTCCCTGGAAGTCCTGGCTTCTTTCTGCCCCAAATCATTGAGTCCCAGACAGGTAGACCTTTTCCTCACTCCAACTTGGGATCATGACGTAGAAATTTACCTTCTTTAGGGCGTAGCCCTTTTCTTGAGGGTATTGATTTCCTCTCAGGGCATGACTCTCGTATGTTACTGTGTGAAAAATCTCCCCTTCCCACCAAGGGTGAAGATGGGGCACACAGGGAGCTTTCCAGTTAGGGTTAACTCTGGTTGCTATAGCAAGAGCCTCTTATGAAGTTTTCCCATTTCCTTCCATCCTTCTGTTCATTGCTCTTCAGGGTGAGACAGGGCTACCTTTCCCTCCTCTCATCTGTAAATCTATGACTCTTCCAAAGAGAATTTTTTTTTTCAATCCTCACCCAAGGATACATTCACTGATTTGAGAGAGAGAGAGAGAGAGAGAGAGAGAGAGAGAGATTGGTTGCCTCTGTATGTGCCCTGACTGGGGATCGAACCCTCAACCTTTTGTGCATGGGAAAATGCTCTAACCAACTGAACCACCCAGCCAGGGCTCTACCAAATTTTTGACAGATCATATTATTGGTTATGGTTATTGTGGGGCCCAGGTCGAACTCACCTGTAGCTTAGTGAAAGAGAGCAAGTTAACAATAAAATCCTCCCTGTCTCAGTTTCCCTATCTGTAGGCGTATTGTGAGGATTAAGTGAATTAACGTATTAAAACAACTTAGAGCAGTGCTTGGCAAAGAATCAGTGATTTATTAACATGAGCTGTCATTATTGAGAAGCTGTGCATGGTCCTGGTTTGGATTTCCCCAGAGGCATTGCCAGGACAAGGATTCCCAGTCTATGAGGCAAATGAAGAAAGGCTGGTAGGGTAAGGGGATGAGCCGATGAAGGCCCGCCATCAAGCTGGTGGTGCTCCGGTTGCTGGAGCGGGATCCTGCTGGACTCTGGAAAATGGTGAGTCACAGCCTGCGGAGCCAGCCCCCAGGGACCAGGGAGCATGATGCTGACACTCTTTACCTCCATCAGCTGTGGGGCCAGGGCTTTTGAAAAGCCTCCCAAGGGGCGTTAATCACTTGGTGCTTTTGGCTTGCCTTGCATGCAGGAGGAGTGGGCCCTGGTGGCCAGAAAAGCCTCCGCCACAGCCGGCAGTCATCTGCTCCCTAAAGTGCTGCCACGATTGTTGAGAGGGAGAATATGTAGCACCAGAGAGCAGCCTCCAGACCCTGACAGCCCGCGGTTCAAGTTCCAGCTCAGCGTTTATTTGCTGCGTGTCCTTGAAAAAAATCACTTAAACTTCATGTCCTCACTTTCCTTATCTGTAACATGAAGGTGATATTACCTATTGTGGTGATTAAATGACTAAACAAGTATAAAGAGCTTAAAACATTACCTGGAATAGAGTAAGTACTAAAAAAAGTGTACAGCCCTGGCTGGTGTGGCTCAGCGGATTGAGTGCTGGCCTCTGAACCGAATGGTCACTGGTTCGATTCCCAGTTTTGGGCACATGCCTGGGTTGCAAGCCAGGTCCCCAGTAGGGGTGCACGAGAGGCAACCACACCCTGATGTTTCTCTCCCTCTGTTTTTCCCTCGCTACCCCTCTGTCTAAAAATAAACAAATTTTAAAAAATTAAAAACTGTACAGTATTTATATCATTATTTATGTTACTAAATTACTTTATTATAAAATATTGCTCTTATTAATAGTTAAATTTTTATAATTATTTATAACGAAATAATTGAACAATCATACAATATTTAATAATTGCTAGTTATTAAATATTTAATACTATGGTACATTATATACTTATATAATTATTTGGTTATCTTTCATCATAATTATTTAACTTTATAATTATATTAATAATTCAATTGATTATATAATTATTAAATGACTTATATTGTAATTACGTAAATTTTAATTATGTAAATAAATAAATAAAATAGTTCCCCCCTTATCCTTAGGGCATAAGTTCCAAGATTCCCAGTGGGTGTCTGAAACCTTGGATAGTAATGAATCTTATACATACATGTGATTTCCTACACATACATATTATAACAAAGTTTAATGTATAAATTAGTCACAGTAAGAGATTAACAACAGTAACTAACACAATAGAACAATTATAACAACATTCTGTAATAAAGGTGATGTGAATGTGGTCTCTCTCTCTGATAACTGAGAGGCCACTAGGAGACCATGGGTGGGTGATATATACAGCGAGGAAACACTGGAGAAAGGGATGATTCACTTCCTGGGCAGGATGAAGAAGGGCAGAGAGAGAGGTTTCATCGCGCTACTCAGAGCAGCGCACAATTTATAACTTACGTGTTGTTTATTTCTGGAATTTTCCATTTAATATTTTTGGACCATGGTAGACTGCAGGTAACTGAAACCACAGAAAGGGAAGCTGTGGGTATGGGGGTGACTACTGTAA